TTCTAAGGGATGCTATAACGCAGATCTATAGAAAAGAAAAATGAGATCTCTATTGAGAATGTAAGTTGATATTCTATGTAACAAAAGCTAAGTAAATTAATATATTCTATATTACTGAACTGTTAAGAACAAATTCTATCTGTCCTAAAGAACGATAAACATAGGATCATGCATTGACTAAGTGGTTCCCATCCTGTGTACCCAGTGAGTCTTTCCCTCCTAGCTGTTTCTCTGCCCATCCAGCCACATTCACAGACATGTGTGTATATAATAATCTACCTGGTATTTGTTTGGGGGCCTTTTTTGCTTGGTTTGGTTTGGTATTCTGACACATGGCCTCCCTGTATAGTTCAGGCTGGTATTCACTGAGTAGATCTGCTGGCCTCGGATTTGTGCTGATCCTCTTGAGTCAGCATCCTGAGTTTTTGGATTCTAGACATTTACCACCATACCCAGATTATATATAGTTTAAAGGATGCAAATGTGAAAGGTATTTAAGATGCTTAAAAGAAGCTCTGTATCCATAATTAACAGGAGAAAAGGATCTGTATAATTATACCCAGGAAGTTGCTAAAATCATACAGAAGCTGGTTATGCCTCTGCTGAAGTACTCACTATCCTAATGTAAGGAACAGACAGATCTTATGCAGCCACGGATAGGAATTGTGTAATTTTACCTCCAGTTAAATTTGAAATTTCCCAACCTGGCACTTTTTGACATTTCTCTACCAATGGTTGTTTTGGGACTGTCTTCATTAGAGGATAGAGTTAATAACAACTGTAGGCTTCTGCACTAAAAGTCAGTGGCATCTGTGCCAAACGCATTTTATGCCAGTTATGACAACCAAATTGTTTCTAAAAATTACTAAGTGTTCCCTGGGGAAGAAACTAACTCCCTGAGCCAAATACCACCACGATGTTAAATTATTAGGACAACAATGGGGATAATGATATAAAGTATTTTAATCAGTAATGCGTAGGCTTCCACAATGCAAATTCTTAAAGCAATCACTTGCAGGTAGACACTTTGATATAACAGAAGCATACAGATAGGCAAAAATAGCTTTCAACAACTTACATACTGTATTGGTACGTAAGCACATTATGAAATACAATACAGCACACGATGATGCAAATAGATTGGTGCCAGTGCAAGTTAATTCAAAATGTCTGTAAAGAGACAGTTGTGGGAAGGAAGTGGCTGATTGAAAATTATGAACTAAGCATTTGACTCATTTTTAAACGGTGGCACCAAGTGTTCACTTAAGGAATCCCCGGGGTGATGTGTAGTTTGCAAGCACTGCTCTAGGGGGAGACCTAAAGTCAGTAGCATTTGCTTAAGAGGCTTCGATCTATCGGGGTAGGTTTTTCATCTTGAAATGTACAGATTGCAAGATGCACCTATTGAAACCAACAAAAAATGTAAACAGTATGACCATGAAGAAGTTGAACTGCATTTACTTCCATGTATAAATTGAGTGGCCACTGGGCATGTGAGCAGTGTTTTGGGGTGCCGTCTTACGCTTTCTCATGATTTTCAGATAGGTGTCATATTAAAAATTCTCTCAAGTTGAAGACAATGAGGTGTGGATACATCACTCAGATGCAAAAAAGAATGCGCTCCTGTTATTTCTGTCAGTGCGGATAGAGCTGGAGATCAATAAGAAAAAGAAGAGCAAGTATGAAAAGTAAAGACTATATGATCCCACTTCGGTGGAATGTAAAAACAGAGTAGAATGTTGGTCACCAGATGCTGACAACGGTTGTGAAGAGGCTGAATGCAAAGGTTGATCACCAGGCACTGTTTTAATTAGAAGCAGGAGTTTTTATGTGCTATTGCACAGTAAGGTGACTACAGATAATGTGTGCATGTTTACAGAAGCTACAAGGAGGAATTTTATTTAAATAACATTTTTTCATTTAGTTTACATACCAACCAGTTTCCCCTCCCTCTTCTCCTCCCATACCCTCCCCTTTCCCGTCTACCCCTTTCCCATCCACTCCTCCTCCTTCTCCATTCAGAGAGGGGCAGGCTTCCCATGGGCGTGCACAAAGCATGACACATCAAGTTGAGGCAGGACCAAGCTCCTCCCCTAATGTAGACGTGGGGTGAGGTAATCCATCGTGGGGAACAGGTTACCAAAAGCCAGATAAGCACCAGGGAGAGGGCCTGCTCTCACTGTTAGAAGCCTTACTAAGAGACCAAGCTACAGAACTGTCACTCACATGCAGAGGGCCTAGGTCAGTCTAATGCAGGCTCCCTGACTGTTGGTCCAGCATCCATGAGCTACAGAGAGCTCAGATCAGCAGTCTCTATGGGTTCCCCCATCATCACCTTCATGCCTGGTACATTCCCTCCTCCTTTCTTCCACAAGACTCTCAGAGCTCAGCACAGTGCTTGTCTGTGGATCTCTGCCTCTGCTGGATAGAGTATCTCTGATGGTAATTAGGAAAGTCATCAGTCTATTTACAGGAGTTCAGGCATCCTCTCCACTATAGCTAGGAGTCTTAGTTGGGGTCCTCCTTGTGAGTTCTTGGGGGCTCCCTGGCAACCAGGTTTCTCCCTAACCTGAAAAGTAACCCCCCCATTGAGACATCTCTTTTGTTACTCTTCCTCTACATCCTGACTTCAACCTGCTTCCCCCAAGCTGTCCATCCAATCCACTTCCTCTAGTCCCCATCCTCCCCTCCCCCAATTTACCCAGGACATCTTTTCTGCTTCCCCTTCTCAGGGAAGCCCATGCATCCCCAAAGAGGAATTCTTAATGCTTTTACCCTAAAGAAATGATAAACATCAAGTCACTAGATATGTTTAACCTGACTTATGGATAGCACACTATACGCAGCATTAGAAACATTACATGGCACTGCCTTAATATGTACACTGTTCCCATCTTTATCTAGCCACTAAAATTTTAAATTCAAATCTGCCTAATCTCAGGCATGACTAAAGCCCACAAGTTCGCCCTCCCAAGCCAACCACTCTATGTTCCCCACCTTACTCTCAAAGAATGATGGCAAGAGAAGGATCAGTGCCCGAATTTGTGTCTGGTTGCTTTATGGTCCCTGTGGCTCACTGTGTGATGATCTGTTCACTGGCTTGACACCTCACCACATCCTAGGCTCTGTGAGGACTGAGCCTGGAGATCCAACACCTTGCAGATGTGCATTGGCACCCACCCACCTGCCAGCTGTTCAGAATGCTCTGGTGCTGCCCCTGCATAGTCTTACCTGGGCCAACGGTACTTACTCCAAACACTGTTTCAGTGCAGCAGGTCAGAGGTGGTTGAACATAACGATCTATATCTGCAGTGGGTCTCCTCTAAGGCCTGATGCAGTCCCAGGGGTCTCATCTGTACTTTGCCAGATTCCTGTTCTAACTAACCCCTTCTTTTTTCGAGTATTACTTTATTGACGGTCTTCTTCTCCCTTGGGTTCCGTGGCCAAGTTAGCAAGTTGAGTCCTTGAATTTACCCGAATAATTTCTAGATGCTTTTTAGCCAAAGTAAAGTTACAACATTGTCTAAAAATTTTCTTGACTGCTGGCTGTCCCTTCTCCCAACCCAAAGACTATTTTATTTCGCACCCAATTAACTCTTCTGTATTTAGACTTAAAAATTCCTTCTTTCCTCAAATCTTGATTTTTCAGAATTCAAGCCTTAATATTAACAACTTTCTGTATGGCCCATATCGCCCAGTAAACAGCTTTTCCACACTCTGGGTCTTGTTAGCATAGAAACCATTACAAATTAAAGGACTTCTTTTTGTCCTCAAATCATATTAAATCCACCAAAAGCCTATGGAATGCAACAGAAGTGCTCTCCTAATGTCTAAATGTGAAAACCAGGTTAATTTTCTTCTAGTCCCTCATTTGCAATGGTATTGAAGACTTTGCATTTATATATCAAATAGTATTATATTCTTTTATAAAGAATACATAAAAGGACTTGAAAGGAGTGCATGTCTATTCTATGATGACCTAATTAATTTGTTTTTAAGGTACTAACTTTTTTTTTCTTTTGATACAGTCTCATGTATCTCAAGCTGGCTCATAGATTTAAGTAACTTGCTAGCAAGAGCTGTCCAATTTTCTGAACCTGTTGTGGCTGTGTACCTATAGGGGGCGCTCATTCTCACAAAATATTTGGGACAAGTGACTGAGTGCTATGGAATGGGTTTACTCTAGGGGTGTGGCCTCGCGGGAGAACGCCTGTCTATAAAAAGTTCGGTTAGACCTAGTGTAGAAACTATCTAGGTTTAAAGTCTTTGAAGAACGCCTGCTGTGAGCCTAACTCAGTCCTTGCCAGAGGTTGCAAAGCAAGGACCTGGAAGTTCTCCTTGATGGTCCCTCGACCTGAAGAGCCAAGAGTGATGGGATTTACCAACCCTATTAACAAAGTCCATGAGAGAGTCGGTGTGGAATTAAATTAAGCCTGCTCGGCACCTCTTTCTCCTGGGCAGAAGTTAGAACCCTCAATACCGGCTACAGTCAGCTCGTTTGAAGAGCCAGTCATCACGCTATTTGTCTTGGAAAAGACCTCCAAAAACGAGCAGTAGTAATAACTGCGGTAGCACTCGGTGCTGGGGTGGAGAGGGGATTTTCAGTTACTCGGATGTTTCCGGATCCGTGGTCCAGACTGTCCTAATGACTCTCTTGTCCTCTTAAGCGTGACCACAATTCCCTGGAGCGATGAACTCCCCCTTAACTCAGAGTCGGCCTTCATCTCCTCCTTGACCTTTAGCATCTATTGACTGAGAGCCGTTTGTTATTATTATAGTGCGGTGTTAGGGAGATGCAGTGACGCAGATGATCGGGCATCAAGTACGTTTCTAATTCCCCGGGTCTGGATAGGCAGCCGCATTCCAGGGGCGACCCTAACTGCTGTTCCCCCAAGCACAGTCAGTAGCCTGCCTTTTGCTGATGCTGGACTGACAGAGCGGCTCGGGACTGCCCCCAAGGCCAGAGGAGCCCTGGGCTTAGCTCCGCCCCCCGCTCGGCCTGGGTGGCAGCGATGGCCCAGGTCCCCCGGCTTTCGGCCCTGTGTGCAGCCGGCGCGCGCGTGTCTCCGCGTGTCTGCGCGTGTGTGTCCGTGCATGTGAGTGCAATGAGGTGGAGTCCGACGCCTGGGTGTTTCCTTCCAAGTGATTTTGATCAGCAATCCGTTAGGGGATCATGGAAAAAAAATACTCTGGCTAAAAGGAGGAAAACTGAGTAAGTACACAGAACTTTGTACTGGAAACAGAATGCGACCAAATGCAAGCAAAACCCTGACAGTAACCACATGCACTCAAACTGCCGTCCCCTTCTTACGTTAAATGCTGACGGCAAAGTGGCAATTTAAAACGGAGCGAAAGGAAGCCGTTCAGAAACATGAAAGGCTGTGAGCAGGGCGGCTTTATGAAAAACTGCTAGGGCAACCTGGCCTGCGCCCAGCTGTGCAACAGGCACTTCGCGGTTACTCTGCTGCGTCCTCGGGGCAGTTTTCAGACTCCAGACCGCTTTTCCTGTGCTTTCTCTCGGCCCCAAAGCCGAGACAAGCTGAACTCTTGAGTTTATGAATGTTGTGGAAATAAGACATTACCGGAAGGAACTCTTGGCAGCCGGGAATGCGTTCGGATGGTTTCTTACGACTATCGTTATTTTGACATCTTAAGAAAAAAATAAATAAGCGGGTCAGTCACATTTTAGTGTCCACGGAAGGGCTCTTGTTAACCACCTCGGACCGCTGGCCCCTGTGGCATGAATCTTTGGCATGAACCTCCGGAAAGTTCTCAAGGGGAGATGGGGCGAACTTGATTGGAGTTGTGCAAAAGGAAGACAGATGTGTGCTTTTTTCACGCTGACAACGTGGCCAGGGGCCAAGTGAAGCTGGACTGGACATGGTCTGTCGACCGGTGTTTCTTTGTCGCCGGCGGTTTTGCCCCCGACCTTTTCTGGTGGGTTTGGTGGTGGCAATCTGTCTCTTTTACCAGACCCTAACACTCCGAGGGACTAAGAAGCTTGCAGCGGGGGTTCCTGGGACTGTCCCACACACACCCTCTCAAACTCAAGCTAGCAGATGCCAGCAAGGATACCCGTGGGACAAACGGTGCTTCCTTCTCTCGGCAAATGCCCAGGAAATCAGGAAGGTAAGTTTGAGTTTAGCCTGAGCGGTCTGCCTCTCTCTCCTTTCTGCAAAACTAAAATTAACTTCCATGAGGTCCCAAAGGGAGCCAGACTGTAAACAGTCCAAAGTGACCTGCTGACTGTGTGATGTGTTACATAAGCTGCGAAACTTCCTAAACATACTTAAAAGGATTCTACTCTTTATCTTTTAGATGTGATCTTCATTTCAGTGAACTGAAATGACTTCTAAAATGTTAGAAATCCAAGAAATCTGGGGATGTGCACATCAGAAACCAAGTCAAAATCCCTGGATCTTTCTTTAAAGCAGAGAGCATGAGAGCCAAGATGCTCCCAGAATCCCATCTCACCATCTGCTAAATTGGTTCTGAATTTGGTGAAGATGTTTCTAAACCAATGCATTCTTTTCTGAACCATTTAAAAGAATAGTACTATAGCTTTTTTAAAAAGAATAATTGGCATACTGTTTAATTGTTCATAGAATTAAGGAGACACCAGTTCGGTACTGTGTCCATACTTAGAATCTAAGCACTCGGAAGGCAGAGGCAGGAAAAAGCGCCAACCCAGCATGCTCTCCACGAAGAGTTCTGGGCCTGCCAGTGTTTAATAGTGAGACTTGTTTCCCCCCGAAGTGTGAATGTATGCTTGTTGTGGTGGTTCATGCTTATAATCTTAGCACTGGAAAGACAGAGACAGGAGATCAGGGGGTCAAGGCTAGCCTAGGCTAGCTACATTGTTAGCTTGAGTCTAGCCTGAGCTACAGTAGACACTGTCTGGGGTTGGGGGAGCCAAACAAAGAGTTGGAAAAAAAGAGACCATTCTGTATTCATAATGGGCAGGTTAAGTCTCACTGTTTTTATTTTAAAAGTATAGCAAACAACACAAATCCACAAGAAACATAAAACTTCTGTTTTAATATTGCATTCTGTTCATGCCTAGTTGCAAACCTTTCACTGTCAAGAACCACTGGAATTAGTGACATTTGAAATAGTTTACAACAAGATACCTTTGGGATCTGTAAGACGTGCCTTCTGTCTAAGTAGACGTAGCCTGAGTTTCTGACCCTGTTGGAGTAGAATTTCATCTTGGGTTGCAACATAGTTGCTGTTGTCATTGCTACCACCTCCAGGACCACCACTATGTTGTTTTGTAAACTCTTGTTTATTTCATTTCAGACTCATAAGCCAGGCACGTAGCTATGTAGGTAGGTAGGTCGTAGGTGGGGTTAGTCAACTTAAAAACAAAGTGACTGTCACTGAAGGTATGCTCAAATGGGTGGCTAACTGAATGCCCTGTTGCCTCCCACAGAAATCAGTCTGCTTTGTCCCTACCACAACATACAATCTGAATAAAAGCAAACTCAACATTGGTACAATCATTTCTGAGGCCACAACTTGAAGAATGCACACCAAATCACAGTAGATTAAGATGATGAGCATTTGCAGACTGTCACATAGGTGTATTCATTTGTTTGCAAAACTATGAAGTTGAGGTGACCCTTGAGCACAGGAAATAATAGCAGAAGACAGAAGCAGGGTCATCTCTAAAGGAAGCATTAGTACAAGGTGTGGGGCCATCTTCAGATGCTGTGAAATAACGGGAGCATATACATTTTGGGTTGTTTGTGTAACCTTTTCTTTTTTTTGGACACTTCAAATTTTTGATAGATGTACGTGAATTTTAAAGCTACTGTTTGGTAATTTTAAAACTACTTTTTTGGTAGTATGTAATTGCAATGTTCTTTAAAAATAGATGAGGAAAGTATTTAAACACTTAAATATTTTCTAGGAAATTTGGGTGGAAATGATTCATTAATTAATTTGTAGCTTCCTTTACATCCTTATTAGGCATTTCCCGATTCCAGCTTTGTTTGTAACCTAGCATATGTTAACTGTTACTTGTATACTGTGACAGAAAATTCCATTACAGCTTTAGAACTCCTGCTTCTTGGAAAACATCTGAAACTTATTGGCTGCTGGTGTAAAAAAAAAAAACATTCAGTCTAGAATTTTCTTCAACCAGAAGAATGCCAAACACATGATGATTTTGGCTCCCAAATGATTTGCAGTCTTAAATATTTAAAATATAAGCGAATTTCTAAATTGAGAATCATAGTTCTGTGAATGTGAAAACTGTGTTTCCAAACATTTGCTCTATACCTCTGGTTTTAATGCGTGCAACCCACTGATAGGCAGGAAGGCAGACAAAACTTGTTTGTACTGTAGCTTCCAAAAGGTGTCAAGTAATAACCATCTGCAATGGATAAATATTCTTTCAGATATCTAATGTGGAGAGAGAAGTCAGTTAACAATGCTTTATAGATCCTGTCCAGACCAAAAAAAAAACACTCATAAAAGTCACTAATGAAATGACTAGTGAGGTGCTGTAGAGGTGGGTGTTCCTGAAGACCTACAAGTAGCTTTTAGAAATGATATCTCATAGGAGTAGATTTTTTCATCTGTGCATTTTGAAATTTGTGATCACTTTTATTGACAGGTCAAAATATTCAACTTAGCTGAATCCCTCATTTACTTCAGTTGATCCCACCCATGTTAACCTTAAGTGCTTTTAAAAGATGCTACAAACCACTGGAGTTGACTATGTAGAAAAGAAAAGTGTGTTTGGATATATAAAAGCTCTCTAAACACCAGAAATTCCATGAAAACTCTTGCATATATGTGTCTAAACAGATCTCTGTGGGTAAATAATTTATTTTGATTAGATATTCAGAACTAAAAACATGCCAAGACCACTGAAAGTGATTAACAACGTCTATGCTTCAATATTTCATTAACTACTCACTCTGTGTATATCAATTGGATCTGGATAAATAAACCTAAAATGAAAAAAATAAGTCTTCAAAGGAGGACGTTAAAGCAAATAAATAAATAAATAAATTTGTGTGAAAACATGGAAAAGCAGAATATTTCTTTAATCACAGTTGTCATTCATTGATGAATAAGCAGCAAGTATTACCTGTTTTTTTTTTTTGGCTGCAATTGCTTCTTAGAAGAGACCTTCTGTACTTTATCTTACTTGGTAACGGAGGATCCTGTAGTTGGAAATATTTGAAGACACTAACTTTGCCTTCCACACCTTCCCCATCGGGACCCGATTCAACATTAAATCTGATCCCAATGCCAGTGAGATCACAGTATTCGATCTGCCAATTTTCCATAAGGAAGCACTCCCCCTCTTTCTGGCCAAATTTTAATTCCTTTTTCCACATTTTACATTCCAATGTCCCTTGTAAAGCAGATGTACTATTGTTATTTCTTCTGGATTTTTCTCTCAGCATTGGTTGTTTAAATATTATGTAATAATCTGCTGTGTCTTCCAGCTTAATTTATACACATAGCTATGTTGTCTTCACTGAGGTAGGTTTCTCTGTAGATTTACCCATTGTCATGGGTCCTGACGCCTTAGCATTGCCTAACACAGAAAACAAATTATAAACAGACACAATGGGTGAGCTCTCCTCAGCCCATGCTCCCCTAATGGAAACAAGACTATTTGAGGGCTGTGTTTAGACTCGGGAGAGCCATGTGTTTCTGATTATCTCCCGTTGAGGCTACACAATGGGAACTACTATTCCTTGAACTGTTGCTGGGCTGCGTGCATTCCAAGTCTTCCTCACTCTAGTTTCAGGGACTGGTGTGTACCACTTTTACTACCCCAGGATCCAACATAGCCCAATGTAAATAAGCAAATATCCTCATTAAACATATTCTAATCCATTTTGTTTGTATTTGTAAAAATAAGGAATGTACTTAACACTTGAAAATCTCTTTAAAATTACTTCTTTAAGTCTAAGTTTTGTAGCATCAGGAAGTTAGACCAACTCTTCGGTAGAGATGTACCAGAAGTCTCGCTCTCAAGATCACCAGCGGTGGTAGTACCAGGATTCCTGGGGTTCGGAGACAGTGTGGCTCCAGGAACACTTTGATTTCAGGCCTCTCACCTCTATAATTATGAAACAGCAAATGTCTTTGGGTTGAAGTCACTCAGATTATGGAGCTTCATCACACAATCTTAGGACACTAGGAGAACTGGGGAAGCAGAATGTTGTAGTATCCAGAAGTTCTGGAGTCACATTAATGACATTTGTTAACTTATTTGCTTTGGGTCCATATCTTGACTTCTGTAGGATTTAGTTTCTCTCCCTGAAAATGGCTGTATTAGTATTTCCTTCCTAAGGCAAACAAGGAACTCCCGTGAGATAAATCATGTGAAACCCAATGGGTTCAGCCACAGGGGTCGTCATTATGTAAGTTTCCAGAAGAGTTGTTACATCCATCATCCCTATTAATTGTCCTTAATATTTGTCCTCACAAAGTAGGTAAGCTACCATTGTTGTTTGAATATCAACATCCCCCCATACTGCTGTGTTTTTTTTTTTACATGAAATGGAATTTTAGAACCAGCCAAAATTTGGAGAGGCACACCTGTCACTCAAAGGTGGATCTGCTTACCTATAGGTAAAGCTCAAAATGCTACCTGATAAAATTTTAAAGCACAGGCTGTTACAATTAACCCCATGTTGTAGCTGAGGACTTGGAGAATTGAGTGAGGAGTGGACGTCCTTAAGATTTTGGGCCCTGAATAGACATACAAGTGTGCCTGTTTGTTAGTTTATTGTCTTTCTCTGCCAGGACCATAAACTGCTTATGGTCAGACAACTAAATTTGTTTATTGCGACATATCCAGTGCAAAAACAGTACCTGACATGCAGTGAGCACTGTATGAGTAAAGGAGGAAGTGGTGAATCTGAGGGCTAGTGAGGTCCATTGCCTTAGCAAGGTCAGGAAATGACAAGAACTCTTTCTGCCAAGGAGCCCTGGCTTTCTCTTTCCCGCACCGGTATCTCCTACATGCCCTCCCATGGCATTTCTTGGACTTTCAAGCAATTTGCTATGCAGAATTTGCTCTGTGACTTATCACAATCTTTTTTACCTTCATGTTTTTGGGGATCCCCTTGGGATCCTTAGTGAGTGAACAATCACAA